CCATCACTTGGGAGTCTGCAAATCCACATCTGTCTGTTTAACATGTATGTGAACTTAAACAGAACAAAGAAGGTCATAATATATTTTGCACTTACGATTTCACAAACAGTTCAACCTCAGGAACATGAACTGGATTGATTATGACATCTGAAACATCAAAAGCACTTGTAATACTAATCTCACCTTTATAACAGAATTAGACAATATATGTTAACTAAGACATGTACATATACATCCAATATTGATTACTTTAGACATAGTTAAGGGAAGAGTGAATACCTTTAAAATTATTGATTTTAGCATAGCGTATCAGAACCACTGTCTTCTTGTCATGCTTTACATTTTTTAAACCACTAAATACTTTCTCAGCAATCACACCCCACAAAGTACAAGACAAACGCTCATTGCTTCATTATAGTAACAAACAATTTCAATACTACTTGTTTAAAGATATAGTTATTATGAATCAAAAATTATATGAAAACAATATTCTACTTGCCTAGCATCTCTTATTTGAAACTCTAGTTTTTTGTTTGGTTTGTTTTGAGCCATAATGTCATCCACTTTTCTCACATTCACCACTTGACCTAATATGTCTGCCATTGTAAAGAATACTTTGTTAATATTAAAATCCATAACACTCCCTGGTTTGAGTTAAACTAATGATAGAGAATTTAGAAAATACGTACCAATTAGAACATTCTCATCATAACTTTCGGTCTTAATGATAAATAGGTTTTTTAGGCCTACTTATTTTTCTGGAGTGAGGTTCAGTTCAATTCCCCTTAAACACTAACAAGTCGATGCAGCTATAGGGGGTGTCAATCCAGTCCACTGTTAGTGCTAGCAATCAAGATGTGTACAGAAGCAACTAAGTCAAGGCAGATTATAGAGATGGTTGGTTTCTAGTAACAATCCTAGGTCAGGATTCAAACAACAAAAATAAGAACTTAAAAGCTCTACTCGATCATTGGGTCGAGTAGAACCAATAGGCAGAACTAAATGCAATCAACAGGTGACACAAATAACAGGTAAATAAAGTGCAATCAGGGGGTGAATACAAATAAATCTAAGAAGAATAGAAGTCCTAACGATGTATTCATTGATAAGGGCAACTCTAGGATTCATCAGGTGGCTAACAGGTAAAAGGCAGAAACCCTAGACGATAGATTCAAAAACTGGGTCAATCCACTCTCGTGACAGAGACTCCCATAACTCTACCACATCCTAATCTCAACTCTCGTTAATGAAACATAGCAGAGCAGGGTTTAAGCAACAATCTACCGAAGCCAATAAGCAGACTAGCCAATATCTTGGTCTATAGCCTACAAATCTCTGGAATTCGTAGACCAGGCATCCATTTGAACGTCTTTTTAACGCTGGATACCTATGGTCAAATTTCCACAGTAGCCAGCGAAAACCGCATAGGGGCCAACGAATTCAGAAGGGATCTAACCTAATCTTAACCACCTGACTAACCTAGAGATTACCCTAATCTAATCCATCCTCAAGAACCCTAATCACTACTCAAGCAACATAACTAATAACACGAACCCAGAAATTACTGAAATCATACCAAAATGTAGATCTAAACAAGCTAAACAACTTTATTCAAAGAACTAAATGCAAAAATGAAATATATTAAGAGTAATTAAGTTTTGAAGATTCAAGAACACAAAGAAAAACTAATTGATAAAAGCTAGATCCTTTGGACAAATCCCAAAGTGATATATTTATAGTAAAATGTTGGAAACCCTAGATTCACTAGAAGACAAGAGACTTGAGGCGGTTTGGGCGAGTGTTCGACCTTGGGGATCGAGTAAAGAGGGTGCTGCAAAGTCTGAGCCTTTGTGTCTATGCTCCGAGTGATCAATTGGTCGAATAGATGCGTTTTCCTCTCCTATCTGTATGCTCAGATGTCTGGTTGAGTGGGGAATGAGGAGGATCCGAAGATGCTTTGATAGATCAACAAGTCTTGTAGAGTTGGTCGCCCGTGATCGAGTAGAGGATCGAGTAGGAGGGACGAGTAGATCGATCTGCTACTTCCTCTGAGGCTGCCTTGATCGAGTAAGTGGGTCGAGTGAATTGTTGCTTCCTCTATGGCTGCCTCGATCGAGTGAACTGGTCGAGTAGAATGCTCTGCTGCTTCCCTCTTGGTTGGATAGAGTAGAGGGTCGAGTAGAATCCTTGTAAACTCCTTATGCACCTGAAAATACACCAAAACATGCAATATGTATGCAAGATGATCCTAAGTGTGCAAAATAAGCTAAATGTGATGCAAACTGATATGAAACAATGAGTGATCACTAAGCTAAATGATGATAAATACATGTCTAAAATGAGTAAAATACAGTGTTATCACTTAACCCATTCAAAATCTGCTAGATCCAGAAAAACACTATCCGATACATGATCACATTTAATCACATATGTGTTGTGGTTAAAACCCATTCGATAGCTCAAACTCGATATCTTGTACTTGTCAAACGAAGGACTCAAAGTGAAGGTATCAATGATCTTCCAATCACCGATCTTTAGTGACCTGTGAAACTTGCCAATATAATGCTTTCTAATGGAACAATGCATCTTAGATCCCTATATCAAAACCAAGTAAACAAAAACACATAAGAACTTGTTATATATTTCAAACAGAAATATATATAGATTCATATATTTAATCAATAGCATTCTGTTTAATCAAGGATTCACACAAAGATTTGTTTAAAGGAGGAAAACAAATCTAGTAATTTCTCTTCATTAGGTATTCCATCCAAGACTCTATTACAAAAGAGGTTCTAATCTCTTATGAAATACATTAGAGTTTTGCTCAAGAACAGAGAAAGAATTAGGGTTTTAGAAGGTATAGTTGCATCCGTGATGGATTGCCTACGTACCCTGTGAAGGGATCAAGCCATTTGTAGTTCTCTTTGGGTATAAAATTGTGTCTTTCTGAGTATTTAATTGTCTCCTTTGAGAAGTCCTTGAGGCGCTTTATATAGGATCCTTAAACCGCATCTCTAGCGATATTCTTGGAAGACTTCCATTTATCTTTAAGTTGGTTCTAGAGGATAATCGTCCTAAGGATATTTTCCTTATTCTTCAGAGGCTTTGGGAAGATTTCCTGATTCGACATTATCTTCAAAGATTCTCCTTTATCATTTCCGAAAGTCCCATAAAAGATCCTATTTTACCGGAAATTATCCTTTGAGAATGAATGGTTTTTACAAGTCTTTGCCTCGGGTGTTTTCACGGCTCGGTGGTCGTTTGAGAGGTGGCTTCAGGCAAACGGTATGCACCGGTTCGGGCGCGCTTGATGACTTTCCATTAAGCTCAGTTGGCTGTCTCCCGAGGTGATATAGTTATTTTCCGCATCGTTCTCACGATTGGCTCGGGCTGTGTTTATAGGATTAACACCCGAGCCATTTTACGAACTCTCTCCGAGACGGTTGATCGAATAAAGTCCTGAGGTGCTTTGTTCTAGGCTAGAGGCCAATCATATGTTTAACCATGAGGTGATTGTTATTCTTAGACTGTTTGGCTCGGTCTTGCTTGTGGGGGAATCCGACCCCAACAGTTAGCCCCCAGCTTGTTGGTTTAAGAGTTAATGTGACAAGCTTCATGAATAGTGTGACGACCCAGCTGCTTCCGCATCTAAACTGACTGATCCGTATCTTTTGAGAGTAAGGCTTGTTTTTCTTGTCCCAAACAATGTCGTTGTTTTGTTTTGTTTTTATGTAAAGACATGCTTGGATGGCTTTATCCACATTTTGAATTAATATATTGGAATGATTTCGATAAGAAACTGTCTTTCATACCCGAGGTGTTTGGCTTGGGTATAGGTTAGACAAATATAATGGAAGTTTGATTAAGCTTCTCGCATACTTGAGGTGGTTGGCTCGGGTACAAATTGCCTGAGTCAAAGTTGGGTTTAGTATATTTTGTTTCGAGCTGAACGACTGAGTACCAAGTTATTCGGGATAACTGGATTTCTAAACACTGAGCCCAAAGCAGATAAGAAACTGTATTTAGCCAAAGCAAACGCTCGACACCAGTGTTTATGACAACTAGGTGTTAGTAGATTAAGTCGGAAGGACTTATACAGCCGAGACAAACGCTTAGCACCAATGTTTATGATAACTGAGTTTTAGTTTCCGAGGTGGTTGACTCGGTACCAGTGTAAAGTTAGAACTAGGTTTTGGCTTCCGAGGTAATCGGCTCGATACCAGTAAGGACTGGGTTTTGTAGGAGAGAATGTATTGGAGCATTTTCGGGCGAAGCTTTGTCTTTCATGCCCGAGGTGGTTAGCTTGGTACCAGTGTGTTTAGAGTTACTGGACTTTTGTAGACTTGAATACCCACGGTTGCGACCCGATCTGATTCAGTCTTTTACCAGGGTTCAGAAGATAGAATTCATAGCCTGCTCAGAAAAACATCCGAGCAGATTCTTATCTTGAATATTTATATAGCGCACTGTAACCGAAGTGGTGTAAATGAAACTTTGAAAATAATAGGCCGTCGCCCGTTAAAATATTTCAAAGTAAAAAAAATTAGAAATCGAATTCCAAAAAAATTCGAAGTAGAAAAATGAAGTTCAAATTTAAACCGAAGCGAGAGTTTAAAATTGAAGTGGGAGTATGGATATACGGACCCCACTCCTCCCCCCTTTTTTTTTTTAATTTTGTGGGGGCTAGCTGAACTCGTCTGGATACAAGCTGCTTACGTACCCTTTTCAGAGATCAAACCAACCCGTAGTTCAAGTTATGATCAAGAGGCCGGAGCTCTTTTTTTACTCGATGGAAGAGTTTCTTTTTTTTTTTTTTTGCTCGGTAGAGGAGACTTTTTATTCGGTAGACGAGTCTTTTTACTCGATAGACGAGTCTTTTTGCAAGTTTATGCAAAAAATATAACAGAGAATGCATATATATGATTGAGCTGTGCTTGTTAGATTATAATCGATAACACTTATCTTAGCTGTGTGGAGATAGAGATGATGACATCTATGACATGAACGATCTAAATCTTCGAGATTGTAAATGTCGTTGTATGGAAATCTACATTTGAGATGTTGCGAGTTAGAGGAGGCCTCTACTTTGCGTTAGAAAGAGAGAAACAAAGATAAAAGCTTTCGATATAAGCGAGTATGTCAATCAAGCTTAATTAATATGTAAGAAAGTAGTTGAACTTATCTTAATTAATATTATAATCGATAACACTTATCTTAGCTGTGTGGAGATAGAGATGATGACATCTATGATATGAACGATCTAAATCTTCGAGATTGTAAATGTCGTTGTATGGAAATCTACATTTGAGATGTTGCGAGTTAGAGGAGGCCTCTACTTTGCGTTTGAAAGAGAGAAACAAAGATAAAAGCTTTCGATATAAGCGAGTATGTCAATCAAGCTTAATTAATATGTAAGAAAGTAGTTGAACTTATCTTTTATGAGGCGGAGACGGAATTGGAGATCGCTTCATTGATAAATGATTGGAATCCTTGAGCGATTGGTAGTGATGTTCCATTGCCACTTATTGGTGTAATGTACCTCTTTTGATGATTCGTATAAGAACTGATAACTATCGTTTCAACCGTTAAGTTTTCGATCCCACCATTGAGTATCTAGCTGCTAATTCCGTGAAGGTTTTCTCCAAATTTTAGTCAGATCGGATATTGTATAAAGCTTCCACGTTTTCATGAAGTTGTTGTGACAAGGTGATTTTTTCTTCTTTTGGCTGATTCGGAGATGCATTGATAACTTTATTCTTCATCCTTGATTTCTTGATCCCACCGGTAAATCATTATCTAGAAGCGTCAACAATCACTCTATAAAGTTCTAGCTAGATCGGACGTCGTATGTATCTTCCATTATCCTCTGAAGTTGCTCCGACAGAGTCATTGTTTCCTGATTCTTAACTCTTTCTGATGCGTCGGGAAAATGTCTCGCAAAAGCTGTAGCTGCACACCGAATCCTGTTTCAGACTTTGCATGGATTAAAGACTGTTTCAGTTGGTTCTTGGACAGGAAGCAAGATGAATAACTTCTTGATCTTAAGTGCATTTGACGACCCGTCTGGTGTGGTGAACTCTTGAGTTGATAGTGTTGAACTCTGAGCTGGTGATCTAAAGTGAGAATAACAATGACGCGATCGAAGCATGGTAGCAATGATGATGTTATAGGTTTCCCAACCTAAAAGGAGTTCAACAATAGAGACGAGATTGGTCTCTATAGAAATATAAGCCTTGGGGTTTCAGGATGATGTGAAGGTTGATTCTCATATCTTTCCAGATCGACAAGAAATCCATCTCAAAAGCGGCTGATCTGATAACAGTGGAACTCCGCTCTATGGTTTTGGCCAGGATGCGCTCGTCGCGGAAAAACAGTGAGAATTCTTACTAGACTGCAACAAAAGAGGCAAAGTCGGGTTCTTTAGAAAGATAAGCCTTGTAGCTTCATAATGATAAGCCGGGAAATCGATCTGAAAGCTGGCAGATATGTGGTCTGATAAATACACATGCTTGAGAGAAACGTCTATAACTCCCGGAAGACAGCATAGAATTAGGCAAAGTACATCTTTATGGCAAGATAAGTCTCTTAGCTTCAGAACGATATGTAGATGGGCTCTTGATGTGTTTTTAATCGCTGGGAATCTATCTTCTACCCCAATTGTTCTCGCAGTTCGAGTCTGCGATTTTGAGAGATGTCATATGTTGCGTGGAAACAGTGCTAACGCTTAGTACACAGCTCCGATATTGGTGAGGTTGATTGTGTTGGAAGGACAAGCCTCTTATCTTCAGATTGATAGGTAAAACACCTTGTTATGCTTTCTAGATCACCAGGAATTTCGTTTTAAAGTTGGTTGTTCTGACAGCGGCGGTTTTGACAAAAAGATTGCATCCGAGGAAGAGAAGCGATGATAACTCCTAGTAGACAGGTCGGATCGAGACGAGGTAGGCTTCTTTGGAAATCTGAATCTTGGAGAAATCTGTAGATAAGTATATCGTAGCTTATTTCATCAGGAGTTTCCAGGAAAACGATCCTGAAGCTGACTGGTTTTATAGAGTTGGGTCTTGTGACAGACTGCACTTGCTTGAGATAAACGTTTATATCTCTCAGCATATATCTTAGATTAAGGCAAGGTCGACTTTTCCAAAAATATGACTCTGTGGGCGATTGGTCTATTCATACAGATCTGTGAAGAAACAGACAGCATCGACAGCATCGACTTCAGAAAAACTTCAGAAATCTGTGAAGAAACAGACAGCATCGACTTCAGAAAAACGGCGATAACTCTGAGCAGAGATATCCGATCGAGCTACAGTTAGATTCCCTGGAACTCTGATCTCCGGGGCAATCCGTGGACAGGTTACGTCACATGGTTCATTGAACCTTGACAGGTGGCCTCCCCACAAGTAGACGGATCTGATTGTCTTGGCTTGATGAGCGTACATCGAATACTTGGATGAATGATATGCGAAGAGAGTTCTTTTTCGTCCCCACATACGGCGCCAATTGTTGAATCAAGGATTCACACAATATATTTGTTTAAGGAGGAAAACAAATCTAGTAATTTCTCTTCATTAGATATTCCATCCAAGACTCTATTACAAAAGAGGTTCTAATCTCTTATGAAATACATTAGGGTTTTGCTCAAGAACAGAGAAAGAATTAGGGTATTAGAAGGTATAGTTGCATCCGTGATGGATTGCCTACGTACCCTGTGAAGGGATCAAGCCATTCGTAGTTCTCTTTGGGTATAAAATTGTGTCTTTTTGAGTATTTAATTGTCTCCTTTGAGAAGTCCTTGAGGCGCTTTATATAGGATCCTTAAACCGCATCTCTAGCGATATTCTTGGAAGATTTCCATTTATCTTTAAGTCGGTTCTAGAGGATCATCGTCCTAAAGATATTTTCCTTATTCTTCAGAGGCTTTGGGAAGATTTCCTGATTCGACATTATCTTCAAAGATTCTACTTTATCATTTCCGAAAGTCCCATAAAAGATCCTATTTTACCGGAAATGATCCTTTGAGAATGAATGGTTTTTACAAGTCTTTGCCTCGGCTCTTTTCACGGCTCGGTGGTCGTTTGAGAGGTGGCTTCAGGCAAACGGTATGTACCGGTTCGGGGCGCGCTTGATGACTGTCCATTAAGCTCAGTTGGCTGTCTCGTGAGGCGATATAGTTGTTTTTCGCAGCGTTCTCACGATTGGCTCGGACTGTGTTTATAGGATTAACACCCGAGCCATTTTACGAACTCTCTCCGAGACGGTTGATTGAATAAAGTCCCGAGGTGCTTTCTTCTAGGCTAGAGGCCAATCATATGTTTAACCATGAGGTGATTGTTACTCTTAGACTGTTTGGCTCGGTCTTGCTTGTGGGGGAATTCGACCACAACACATTCTCTCATACATTTTCATCACATATAATGATATCTAACGTTTCTCCTGATGCATCCATGGTTTGCCTCCACAGATGAAGAATCTTGACTCGGACACGCCTATTCGTTTTGAAAGGCTTGACATCACTAAGATACGTTAAACCTAACGGTAAAGTCATTGATTATGTGTATAGATGAGAAAGAAAAGTGATGCTTTAGAATTGATGATATTGCTTGAGTATTTATACGGTTAGGACTTGGTTCTTAAACCCTAGAGCAACACCGGATTTTTTGATACATGAAATCATAACTAAATATACAATCTCAATAGAATATATAAATCTTCCTTAATTGGTTGTGATTTGCAGATATCTTCAAGAAACAGTGAATATCTTGGAAAGGAGGCAAAATATTGAGCAAGAAATGTTAAGAAAGAGTGGTTACTGACGTGCAAATGGGCCAACTGTGATCAAAACGCCAAATAAGAAATAGAATCGAGCCCCATTAGATAGAAACAGGATCTCCGCGTCTGTTTAACAGGTCAGTTACGGGCGTGGCTCAAGTCGGCTGCGAAGAGCACAGATAATGACGGTTTTATCCTTTAATTTTTTTTTCCTTTTTCTTGTAACATGTTTTTATTAAACGGCTTAAATGGCTTGTAATTTTATTGTCTCTCATTCTCTCTTAATAGTATAGATTATATTATCGGATCCAAGCCCAATATAGTTGAAGACTTGAAGCTATCATGGTCTGGACGAATAAACCAAACTAAATGTACCGAATCGAATCAAAGTGAAAATTGAAAAATAATCGAATGGATACTAGATTCTATAATCAAAAGAACCAAAACTGAATCGGTATTGAATCGACATATTTTGAGTAACCGAAAATATCCTAAATATAAATATATTTTCAAAGTATTAGTTATTTCTAGATTAAATAATTAAAAATACTTGAGATATATATATAAAATAGTAAAAATACTGGAACATAACAAAAAAATATCTGAAAATATCCAAAGAAGACCGAAAAATATCTAAAATATCCAAAATAACTGAAATATCCAAAAATATTCAAAGCAAAATAACCGAATAGATATTAAATTTTCAAACAAAAAAAATCCGGAACTGAACCGAACTTTCAAAATAATCGAATGGATACTAAATTTTAGAACCAAAAAATCGATAACCGAATGGATACTAAACTTTAAAACCAAAAAATCGATATCCGAATGGATACAAACCAAAATCGAATGGATAACCGAACGCCCAGAACTTAGCATTGATTTATTTTCAAAATATGTTTGAATTCAAAAATAAATACTACAAAATTGTTTTCTTCAAAATTGTAACTACAGATTCATTGTGTTGTTGACTTTTTTTTAATGTCGGCTAATAAATCATTGATACTTGGAATAAAAATTCATCCAAACTTGCTAACAGTTTAAATATGACCAATTCAATAATTTAATATACATAAATTCATGTAATTTTCAGATTTTTTTCAGCCTCATAAAAATTAGAGAAACTATTATGTCAACTACCAAACTACTTTTCTAATTTATTCAGCACATTATCTAGGCAATGAATTCTCAAAGACAACAAAGCTAAGAATTAGGCTTTGAATGGCACTCGGATATGGGTGTGACTCCGATTTGAATGTGGGAACGATACAACTTGAAAGTGATATAAATAGTTAAATCAATGAAAGACTATGATTTACAAACCAACATTACATACAAACTCCATCAAATCCTATTTCATAAAATGTTTTTACTTGAGAAAACCATATGCTAGATAGATTTTCAACTTTTTAAAGTACGTACTATAATTACCAAAGTAAAGAATGATGAAGAACCAAGATACGGCAAGTAAAATCATAGGTTTCACAAACTAAAGTTCTTTTACCTTATTCTTTGTTAGTAGCCGTTAGGTGTAGAAAATTGCATCGATTCACATGTGACTTCGAAAGACGAAAGAAAACATATTTGCGTAGGCCTGGTCAAATAAATCAAACCAAATACACCAAACCGTAATTGAAGTAAAACAAATTGAATAGAATTAAACCAAACCGAAAATTTAAAAATAGTTAAATGGATACTAAATTCTATAACCAAAAAAAACAAAAACGAATCGATACTGATCCGAAATATTTTGAGTACTTGAAAATATCCGAAATACAATTATATATTTTAAAATATTACCTATTTATAGACCAAATAATCCAAAATACTTGAATATATATATAAAATACTAAAACTACTCGAAAATAACAGAAAATATCCAAAAATATCTGAAAATACTCAAAAATAACCGAAATATCCAAAAATACCCGAAGCATAATACCCGAATGGATACTAATTTTAAAACCGAAAGACCGGAACCGGACCAAACCGAACCGAAATGGATATAAAAATCTAAACCCAAAATAACCAAAATCGAATAGAACCGATAACCGATTGGTTAACCGAACCCCCAGGACTACATTTGCAGAATTGAGATCGATTGAATGTAAAAACTACTGAAACCGAAGGTAGGGAATATTACAATGAATTTTTTTCAAAAAAAATCCCACCAGAACGATGTAAAATTTCTATACACTTGAACAATTTGAGTGACAACGTAAGTAATGCACAAAAAAGATAACAACATAAGTACAGAAAATCACACCCCTGTTTTTGTGACTGTCCTAACTCCTAACCAGAAGTAGCAAGCAACACAGCTTTCAATCCTAGAGAGTTCTTACACTTA